TGAATAATCGCGGTGCCCCCTACCAAACGGTAATCTTACCAGTCTGCGTGGCACAAAATCATCCAGCACACGTTTCCAACAACAAACAATGTTCGCAGACCCACGAACAGCCCAAGTCGGGACGGCCGTCCTAGAACGAGATTAGGTCTGATGACCTCGAGAGTGGTGTCCTCTGTATGTCATTCGACCAAGCGGAGTCGATTGCCGTGGAGAACGAGGCTTGAGTCGGCGATGTTTGGCGTGAAACAGGATGCGCCGCATCGTTTATCTTGAAAAATGTGGGGAGATTTTTTTTTCTTAATATCACACAACAAATCCATCTCCATCTATAGAAATAAGTCTAAGATAGAGTAGCAATGAATCTATAGCGTGAGCGAAAGGCTACCTCCTGTATGTCTACGGTTTCCCAGACAGCATACAACGATAACTCCCCTGTGGGTAACAGGCTCAACAAGGCAGTTTGGTAGCCATCTTGTGTATCCATCTGTATGTTATGTTGGGAAGTTGTAGACGGAAGATTTAGGGGAACTCGGTTTGTCGGGTGTGTTCTACTATGGCACCCTCATGTGTTNCAACGATATCTCCCCTGTGGGTAACAGGCTCAACAAGGCAGTTTGGTAGCCATCTTGTGTATCCATCTGTATGTTATGTTGGGAAGTTGTAGACGGAAGATTTAGGGGAACTCGGTTTGTCGGGTGTGTTCTACTATGGCACCCTCATGTGTTTGCGGAGCAAGCGCCTCTCTGGGTGTGATATTTTCGTCATCAACTTATTTTTTGTGTGTGATGTATGGGGGCATGTGCGGCGCGGAGAACATGTTTACCTTGTTGTGTAATGGCATGTCGTTCAATGTGAGAAGGGCTCGGGGGAACATTATCTCATCATTGCCTCCTGACGTGGCCGCCGATAGAGGCGTGTGGTTGGGGTTTCATCACTGACATATTGGTGTGTGTTAAATGCAGTGGGTATGGTCCCCTCTCTCGCCCGTGTGTTGGCAGAAGGTATAGCTACCTTTCCCATTTATTTGTAGGCAGCGCGGACCATAAGTAAAGACAGAGCGTATCATTTCATGCATCTTCATCATTTGAATGTTGTTGTTGTTGTTGTTGTTGTTGTTGTTGTTGTTGTTGTTGTTGTTGTTGTTGTTGTTGTTGTTGTTGTTGTTGTTGTTGTTGTTGTTGTT